CTCTCTTGGACAATCTTATATCTTCGATTCGTCCGGAGGTTGCTTTCGTTCGATATCTACACAAATATACGATTTAAATGAATATTGGTTTTCAAATTACTATTAATCCATCATCATTTACTTAAGCTAAATGAAGCACTTAATTCAATTTTTCAGTCTGAATAGTATCGGTGCCCTAGACCTAATATTGATATTTCCTCACTATGGTATCGATATTATACTTCAGTATTGATACCCATTCTACATTCTGGAATTCTGCTTCTAAAAATGGTACTGATACTTTTCCATTGGTATCGATACCCTTGGTACCGATGCTACTCAATTGGTATCGATATTGATTAAAGGATATTATAAAATTTTACCTTTTGGTATCGATACTATTCTTCCAGTATCGATACCCAAACCCAGATTTCACTCATTTTAGCTTTGAAGTATTGGTACTATTCATCCAGTACCGATACCCTTACCCATAATTTACCTTCTTTATTTTGAAATTTAACCATAACTTACTTAAATTCCACTCTTTAACTCCTTTGAGTCCTTTAAACTCAACTGTACTCACCCAAACCAACTTATCTCACTTTAATACTCCTAAACATCCAAAATCTTACTAGCACACTTGGAACCAAAAATCATACCAATTAATCAACATGTCTCAAATCCATATCTGACACTTTAGATTTCTTATTCCAGCCTATGACAAGTCAAATATGATTTCAAAATTCATTTACTAACTCTTTCTCATTAATTTTCTCAAAAACCCTTTTTACTTAATCACTCATAACTTGTCCATCTTTTAGTTTTTACTTCTCTTAAAGCTTCCTTAAGATTTCCTAACACCCCAAGAATAAAAAACAATCATAAATTACAAGAAATAACCAAGTTGAGCATTCCTTACCTTAGTTATGGAGTCACGATGGAAGGTGGAAGAAATGATGAAGAAAGAGTCTAGATTTCTCTGATATTTCTCTCTTTCCCATTTACTCCACGTGTAATATAACACATCCATAATGAATTTTTAATTCATTTATTGCTAAAAGACCTTTATGTCCATTTCACTTCCAAACTTTGCTATTCAATCCTACACCAAGAAATTCCAAATAAACTCCTTGTACTTTTCAATTTTTCAAAATTAGACACAAAATTTTAAAATCTTACACTTTAGTCACTAGCCCGGTTTTTTGGGATGTTACACTATCTCTCAACTATGGCCATCTAATCAAATCCCAACTTAACGACGAAGGGCATTGGGCTAGAAGGAGACGACGACGGGGACTTACCGCCTAATCCATGCATCGAGCTAGATTTCAACTTTACAAGAAATGATATTATGCTTGACTTACTCAATTTCATGACAAAGGGGTCAACCACAATTTCAACTTCATGATGGAGGATGTCGTGTTCAAAGAAATCTCAAGATCGACTCAACTTTATGACAAATGAGTCACCCGTAATACGACTCAACAACAGGAAGCCATCTTCTATTTTTAAGTCTAATTTCAACTCCGTGATAGAGGATATTCGATAAAAAGAGTCGACTACAACACTGAGTCAGATTTTAAACTTAAGGATCGACAACCCTCACAGGAACAAGCTTGCTTTCAAGTTCATTTATACCGAACGAAAATTTGTGTTTTTTTGTCTTTGCCCTATTTTTTTACACAATAATGGGCAAAGAGGGGCAGTTGTAGACACTCATTTTCATCTGGGACTTCAAGGGGCTTATTTAGTATATATCATAATATATATAATAATTCCAAAAATATACAATATATATATAGTTTTTGAAGATATATAGTATAGTTTTTGAAAATATTGTTGAAAACATATAATATATAATTTTTAACGGTTTTGAAAACATATAATATATAGTTTTAAAAACAGTTTTTGAAAACATAAAATATATAGTTTTTAAAAAACTTTTTTTTAAAACGTATATAATATAGTTTGTAAAACATATTTTGAAAACATATAAATATAGTTTTTAAAACGATTTTTGAAAACATATATAATATATATAATTTTTAGAAATATATTATATAGTTTTTGAAAATATAATATATGTTATATAGTTTTTAAATAAATATATAGTACGTATTATATTTATATTATATTATATATTATTTATAGTATTATTTATTATTTATTATTTTTATTATATTATATTATTAATAATATTATTAGGTTTATTCTTTAGGTCAAGGTCCAAATTAAATCCAAAGCCTAAATCAGAGTCCAATCCAACAAAGGTATAAGGAAGCCCAACCGGGTAAGTAGACCTGACCCAGCAAGCCAACCCGGTGAGCTCAATAGTCCAAAGCCCAAAGCCGCTTGACCCAGCAAACTAGGGTTTTAGGATTAGCAGAAGGTGCCGTAACACCAGGACCGCTAGATCAGCCAAGGGATCAATGGCCCAGATCGAAGGCAGCTAGGGTTATAAAACCCCAAAAACAATATCACACTACAGCCGATCTTGGGCTGTTAGATTTGTAACCAATCCAACGGCCAAGATCAAAACCTAGCTCAAAAGCCATGTACAATAACCGATAGAGATTTCGGTAGAGCAAATTGGAGCAGCCTCGGACCGAACCATCTCGAGATTTCCGTCCAACAACATCCACAGTCCTAATAAATCGGGAATAGGGAGAATGAGCCCCGAAGCAATTGAAATCAGCCCATAGAGGGGCTATATAAATACCAAGCCAGACACATGCAATATGGCAAAGAAAAATCGAGAAAACAACAATCATAGCAACAAAAATCACCACTGACATACATCGAGCAAGAGAGCAAAAAATAATCAGATCACGAAAAACGGTCGAGAAAAAAACAGCAATATACATAGAGATATAAGCAAGAGAAACCATAAAGCTCAAAACATCAAAATACTAAGAAACCATTCGGTATATCGCAACAAAAATCACAACGCAACGATACTGCAATGTTTTTGAAAGTATTCCAATTCCAAGAGTGAAAATGAACTCTCTCGCAAACTAACCACACGCGACGATATTCCATCACCAGACTTCAACTCTGGAGAACCACTTAACGAGAGTCTGTGATTCATCATTTTTCACACTTCTCAATGAAGAAGAGTCTTCAAAAATTATAAGTACAACATTTCTAGCAGCTCTCATTAATGAGAAACCAGTGAGTCCATTGACTTCCATTTGACTAACGAGATTATCGATTTTGATAAAGTCATTGCACCAACCTACTAGATATTTACTTAACACGTTAAGTTTATCCTCTTCCATAACACATTCAACTTCACTATGAATATTCCTCGAAACAACTTCCGCCTTCGATTTTTGGTGAATAGTGATAGAGGTATTTCTCCAAAGAATGTCGAGGTTTAAATTTAGCTAAAAAAAACACTAATTTTACTTCAGTTAATATAGGAGCTATTTATTTATGAGATTGTTTTCTTTGCTTCCTCGATTTTTGCAAAACAGAAGAACCCAAAATGAACCTATTTTAAATTTTTGTTTTAGGAATAAAAACATCAATAACCGAACCAGGGGTAAAAATCAAAACCTCTTCCAATAGATATTTTCTGATAAGTTTTCGATAAAAATAAGTATATCAACCACTTATGAACCCATTATAAATTTACTTTCCTTTCACCAATTATAAAACTCGATTCTCCTCATTCTTACTTCTTCAGACAACTTTTCATTGAAATACCTTTCGAATGCATTTTCCCTCTTGATCTCGTCTTAAAATGACCCCTTTTATCTATACCGTTCAACGACTGCTTCCTATTACCACCATTAATAATTTCCTTCTCAACAGATCTATCCCGCCATTCACGACCCTCGGCGAGTGTTTGGAGACATTCACGATTTTCCAATTTTGATTGGGTAACTCATTGTCGCCTCCTACTCTTTATCTTTGACCCATAACTCTCAGACAGAACCATTAACCGAAATCTGTCCTCTCTGTTGCCAAAACCCAAAGGTAAGAGAAGGCCTTGTATAACCTCGGAACCAACCTACCTCGGATCCGAGATGATCCAGCAACTGCTAAAGGAGAATACATTATAAGCCGAACTATTGTCGTCCGATTTTAAGAGATAGAACCCAAGTTTAGAACAGAATTACTGTAGTCTGAAATAGTATCCATCGACGACGGCAGAATTGAAGCAAGCAGAACCAGGAAGTCACTGTGTTCGACGGGAAAATACTTTCCGATGTTGCGGATGATATAGTTACCGGATTTATCGCGTAACTGACGGCGGAAGAACTAGAAGAAAACAAGTTCGGTGTACAACAGTCACACCAAAACCATTAATCTGGCAAAATACCACCAAAACCAGCAATCATCCTTTTCAAGAATAACCTTCAGTGTTTTCGCTTTATTAGCAGCATCTGTCAAATTTACCATTAATCTGCCAAATTACCACCAAAACCAAGAGGACAGTTACCTGATTTTTCGCGTCACTGACGGCGGAAGAACTGGAGGAAAATGAGGTCGGAGAAATCCTGGGGACAGTCGAGCCAGTGCTCTTGGTCTTCGATTTCAGTATCGTGGTTGGATAAGAAAGGAAGGGCTTCTATACCCAAATCGGAAGCAAGCACCACCACTGAGAAATCATCATTTGACGAACTTCGCGTACCTTTTTAATTTCCTGTCTGACGGGGAGAGATTCGTCTGAACGCGAATTTTTTCTTCTAGATCTACTCCGATCTATTTCGATTTTGAAAAAACCAGCGTCCGACCTATGCTTTGGGTGAAGAGAGGATTCAAATGATATATTTTCCTTTCTTTTCCGATGCCGGCGAGCGACAGTCGTAACCTATTGACGGTGACTGTCACGACAAAGAAGTGGTGGCCGACCACTGAGTTATGAAAGGAAAAGACGCCGGGGAGTGTGGATGAGGTTTTCAAAGAATGGAAATTTTGAAATCGCCTAGGAGAAGCTTCTCTCACTAACAAAAGTCAAAAAGTTATTTCAACCTTGTTTCTAAGCTTTTCTTCAGTACATTTTTTAAAAGAAAAAACCCAGCAAGAAAATGGCAAAAGTATTGTTGTTCGTTGCACTATGTCTGCTTCCAGCTTTGGTGAGTGCTAGTCGAATGGTGAAGGACCCACTTCTGGTTCAAGGGCATGTGTACTGTGACCGTTGCCGTGCTGGTTTTGAAACCCCCAATAGTCGATTCGTACCTGGTACCTTTTCATCTCTCTTCTACTTTTTTGTGTTTATGATGGATCAGCTGTCTTAGCTTCTGAGATGATAGGAGTGTGTAGTAGTTTCAGGTTTTTGTTACTTCGAGTTGAAGTGAACCAAAGGGTATGTTGAATTTGTGGTCAATTTTAGTCTTTTTCTTTTCACCTACTGAATCACAAAGTACGAGTCTTGCAAATAAATAGGCAGTTCAAAGGTGTAAATGTTAATGAAAAGATGAAAACTTTATGGTTCTAAGATGAAAGGTTTGCTCCCAAATATGTTGTTCTTGGAGATACAACAAGATGTAGCTGTTGGTGTTGTTAAGAACTGAAGTTTCCCCATTAAAAAATGTCCTTTGATTCATGGCTGTGTTTTGGTTCTGAATGTTGGTTTTCTGGTATCATATGGTTTTGCAGATGCCAAGGTTAAGGTGATATGCCACGACAGGAAAACCAACCAAGTTGTCTACGAGAGGGAAGGATACACCGATAAAGCCGGAAAATACGAGATTCCTGTGCATGAGGATCACTGGGATCTGATCTGTGATGCAGTTCTAGTGAAGAGCTCACAGCCTGACTGTGCCACAGTGACCCCAGGTCGTGAACGCGCCACTGTGATCTTGACCAACAACAACGGTGTTGCATCCACCACCCGCTATGCCAATGCCATGGGCTTCATGGCTGATGAGCCTGAAGCTGGCTGTGCTGAGATCATGAAGATGTACCAGGAAGATGAGGAAGATGTACCAGGAAGATGAGGAAGATGTTTAGACTATGGTTTGGAGTTCTATATTTGCCTATGATATATGTTGTCTGATATTTGTTATGTGTATTTCTTGGTTTATTTCTACATTTAGGGGGGGCTTAAAATAGCTTATTTCCTTTGAATGTTATGGCTTCTGTCTCAGAAGTATATTTTTTGAGTAATTTCTGTTCTTTTCACCTGATGAATCTGCCAAGACATTACAAAACAGAACGTTTACTCATAACTTGCAAGTAAAGATGGATTTAGAACATCTGTCTATTGAATAATTTAGCTATGATTTTTATCATAGAACAACTTGAATCTCTGATTCTTCATCTCCGATGCTCAACAAGTAAGACCCTTCTTGTATCGCCATCAAACCATTTTCATTGGCTGAGCGAAGATGCTCACAGGCCTCAACTCAAATTCAATATCAGCTCTTTCACCTGCATTAAAATTAACACTCTGGAATGCCACAAATTGTTTCACTGACCTCCCATTACTTGCTTTTTCCGGCCACACAAATAGCAATAGGGGATGCTTTCCGTCCATGTTGCTGTCGTTTTGAACTCTAACTGTGACCGGGTACTTCATCTTGTCACAAGCTTCAGTTCCCATCTCTGAAACTGGCATGTATCTCAGAAGACTCGAGTTCTTAACCATCTGAGAACTTGACTGATTGTTTAAATAGACCTTGTCTTGTGTCGCAGGGAGAAACTGGTATATATAGTTTGAGTAGCTCAGACCATATCCAAATTCAAAAACCTTGGGTCCTTGGTAGAATCTGTAGGTTCGACCTGGATAGCCGGAAGATGGTTCAGGACGCATTCTCATGTCTTTCTTTTAAACTGCAACACAAGATGGATAAACGAGAACTCACCAGGGTTGTGATCATCAAATATAATTTCTGCCAATGCACGACCTCCTACCTCACCTGGATAATCAGTCCATAGAATGCCTCCGATGCATTTATCATTTTCGGCAAACAACATGTCAACTGGACCTCCTGATTGAAGCACCAAAATGACTGGATTCTTAGCAACTCTTGCAATGGTGGATATCAGGTTTTGTTGCTTTGGTGGAAGAACCAAGTCAACACCATCATGATCTTGTCTCTCTTGGGTTTGATCCAATCCCATTACTAACACCACATGATCTGCTCCTTTTGCTATCTTCACTGCTCGAGCAGTGAAAGCAGAACAGTTGACAGCATCACAACCTTGGTGATACCTGATGTCTTTAACGTAGCTTTTCAACCCTTGCAATGGTGTAACAGGTTTGAAAGGGAAGTAGTTTTGGTTTTTGAAAGTGGAAGGAGCTTGTCGGAGTTTTTCAGAAGAACAATGCCATTCCGAGCAGCCCAAGGGCAGGATTCCGATGCTCTCGAGAACAAACCTGCTCCGAACCGTTGAAGAGCCTCTTTCTGACAGAGAAAAGGTTATGAAGGGCTCTATCTATTTCAGATACAAGCAATTTTCTCTTTTCAACAGCTGATTTGGTGTATTTCTTCAAATAGGTACCACAGTTGACATCCATTCCTGTGAAATTCATCCATCAAAAGTTCATAATGATGATATTAGTATCCATCAACATAAAAAAATGATGATTAAGGTCCAAGAAAAGTTCAAAATAACGACTTTAAGAACACCCAAGTGGCCCCCTTGAGGGGTATCATGGAAGGTTTGAATAAGTTGTTACCTTAGAGAACTCCCTTCCCCAATGTAAACCTTTCCCTTAAATCGTAGGATTCCCTTATGATAAGTCCAATCTATAACCGATTCTTGTCTCACTGCTATGGCTGTAATAGTCCTCTTTGCTAACTCATCGTGAAGGTAGCTCTCCTCTTCATCCTACACCTACATAGGTGCAATTTCAACTCCTGATTATTGGCAGCATTTTTGTTGCTCATCATAGTTTCTAGAAAGTGCATTTGCCACAAGATTGTGCTTCCCTTTCCTATATTGAATCACATAGTCTAATCCGAGTAACTTAGTCAGTCCCTTCTTTTGTATTGTCGTAGTTAGCTTAAGGTGTTTGAGTGATTCATGGTGCGTTTTAATAATAAAGAGATAGTGTCTCCACTTTGTAACTGTTATCAAAATTGTTAAGTAATCATTTTCATAAATTGAAAAATTAGTATGTTTAGTTCCCAATGCTACAGGTCTACTACAGGTTTTCCCTCTTGTGATAACACAACCCCAATTCCCTTTGAACTTGAATCTGTTTCCAAAGATAACTTTTTTGTAAAATTCGATAATGCCAACATAGGTGCATTACACATGGCCTCCTTAAGTAACATAAATGCTTCCTTAGCGTCTTCTGACCATTGAAAACTTTCTTTCTTCAGCATGTTGGTAAGAAGCTTGCTGAGTTCTCCATATCCCTTTATAAATTTCCTGTAATACCTTTTTAAACCAAAAATCCTCTCAAGGACTTAATAGTATCGGCGAATTGCCAATTCTGCATTACTTTGACTTTTGTAGGATCTGTAGCCATTCCATCTACTGAAATTATATGGCCCAAGTATTCCACCTGTCTTTGTCCAAAAAAACATTTCTTCCTTCTAGCAAATAGTTTGTGCTTTTGTAACAGCTGATGGATATGTTCTTCCAAGGTAGAGATGTACACTAAAATATCATAAATAAACTAATACAAATTTTCGTAGGTAAGGAACAAATACTTGATTCATGAAGGCTTGAAAGGTGGCTGGAGCATTAGTGAGCCCAAAGGACATAACTTTAAACTCATAGTGCCCTTGATGAGTTTGGAAAGCTTTCTTGTATATATCTATATATTTAATTCTGATCTACCAGTACCTAGATCTAAGGTCGATTTTTAAATAATACTTTGCCCCCCCCTAATTCATCCAATAAGTCTTCAACGATTGATATAGGAAAATTTTCTTTGACAGTTAAATTATTTAACTGTCTATAGTTCACGTATAGTCTCCAACTACCATATTTCTTTTTTATTAAGAGAAATGGGGATGCAAATGGGCTCTTGTAGTGTTGGATAACTGCCGAGGCTAGCATTTCTGTTATCTGCCTCTCTACTTTTGTTTTTCTGATGATATGAGAACCTGTAGGGTCTTAGATTTTTTGGTTGAGCACCGGGCTACAATTGTATCGTGTGGTCATCGCTTCTAAGAGGGAATAGGCCTTTAGGTTCATCAGATACCCTGGATTATATTGTTAATAATGGTTGAATGACTTCAGGCACCTATTCTTTTTCATCTATTTCTTGAACATCCATGTAATAAATTTCTCCCATAATTTCTGGACCCTTTGTTGCCATTTTCTGAAATTTTGCTCCTGAAATTGATTTGACTGAAGGGTTTGTGATTCCCCTTGTAAGGTAATTTCCTTATCATCCTTTTTGAACTATAGTCATATTATTGAAATCCATCGATATTGGGCTGTATCGTTCCATCCAATCGACTCCCACCACCATGTCACTGCCCCCCATTTGTAGCACTCGAAAATCATGTTGAAATGTGTATCCTTGCATTTTCCATTCCAGATTCTTGCTTTTAGTTGTACTTTGTAATTTTTGCCCCCCTGTTACTGTAATTATTAGTGGGTTTGTATGCTGTAGCTCTGCTCCTTTTGCCCAACTTGGATTAATAAAAGAGAAAATAACTTCAGTGACCGAAAATGTCTTATAATATACGATTTTAATCAATTTTTTTTGGATTTGCGAAAATAACCAACAAATTCGCAACGCGAACACCAGTTTCGCAACATAGTTTTCAAATTCGCATCGCTAATTACCGATATAGGTAAACACAACTATTCACAACTCAGTTTTCAAATTCGCAACGCGAATTTCGTTTTCACAACGCGAATTTCGCAACTCGAATTCACGAATTTCGCAACTCGAATTAGCCAATTTCGCAACTAAATTACCGATATAGGTAAACTCGGTAGAAAAAATCCGATAAAAATCCGAATTCGACAATTTGAAAACTGAGTTGTGTTTACCTATATCGGTAATTAGCGTTGCGAAAACGAAATTCGCGTTGCGAATTTGGAGAATCGCGTTGCAAATTTGAAAACTGAGTTGCGAATAGTTGTGTTTACCTATATCGGTAATCAGCGTTGCAAAATTCGAGTTGCGATTTTGGAGAATCGCGTTGCAAATTTGAAAACTGAGTTGCGAATAGTTGTGTTTACCTATATCGGTAATTAGCGTTGCGAAATTCAAGTTGTGAATTTGAAAATCGCGTTACGAATTTGAAAACTGAGTTGCGAATAGTTGTATTTACCTATATCGGTAATTAGTGTTGCGATTTTGGAGAATCGCGTTGCGATTTTGGATAATCGCGTTGCAAATTTGAAAACTGTGTTGCGAAACTGGAGTTCGCGTTGCGAATTTGTTGATTATTTTTGCAAATCCAAAAAAAATTTGTTAAAATCGTATATTATAAAGTATTTTCGGTCACTGGAGTTATTTTCTCTTAATAAAATTATGCGTGCTGCCACTGTCTACTAGGATGGATACTGGCTTTCCTTTGATAGTACCTGCAATTCTGATAGTACTGTGCCCTACATTTCCATTCAATGCATTAATTGAAATTTCACTATTTTCTTCATCTAGTTCTCCATTTTGAAGGCCGACTAGTTCCCCTTTGTTGTATCATCCGCCTCTGTTTCTTCCACTAGATTAAGTTGCTGCGATTTACATCTGTGCGCTGGGCCAAATGTTTCTCCACATCGAAAACATAAATTGTTTGTTCTCCTACGTTCCATTAATGTTTCTGTTGTTGGTTTGAGTTGTAGAGTTCTTCTGACTCAAACTGGTGTGTTAAACTGTGTAGGAGCAGTAGTATAATATGAAAATGAATTTGCCCGATTAGTGGTTTTATTCCTCATATTGTCTACATCCAAGGTCAATTCATATAATTTTGCTTTTAGAAAAGCATCTGATAGAGATTGTGGTTCGCGTACCTTCACTTTATGCTTAAGTTCCTCATTTAATCCACTAATAAAATTGGATACAAAATACCCTTCTTCCTAGTAGGGATTTTGTTGTAACATGAATGACTTCAATTCTTCAATCTACAACTGATGCCAATTGTGATCAAATATCAGTAATGAGCAGAAGTATTACATATTGCAGAAATATGAAACAAAGA